AACTTTCGCAGCAATTGCACGCCCCCTCACTGATGTCCTAAAGAAATATGTGCCATTTGAGTGAGGTCCTAATCGAGCCCCGGCTTTTTCGCAGCTTATAACACTTCTGACCACGCCACCGATTCTCGCCCACATCAACCAGTTGACGCCAATCATGATGCTAGTGGCAACGGTGTTGGCGGGGTGTTATCCCAACGTCAATTCGGTCGTGATGGAGTTTTTGCGTATGCCAGCCGGCCTCTTTCTGCTGTCGAACAGCACGAGTGCCTGACACTTCTACAGGCCGTTGGTGAATCCCACTCCTATTTCTATAGCCTAGCTTTCACCGTTATCACAGACGACCATGCTCTATGCTGGCTTTCAGCCCTCAATTTTTTATTCAACAGGGCACCTTGCTTGTTGGGCTCTGCGCCTCCGAGAATTCACGTGCACTGTGGTTTGGAAGTCTGCCGTTTACACCAAGACACCGAGTGCCGTTGACGCTCCAGACCTCGTAACGGACGACGACACGTTCATCTGTATTTCCTCGCTCTCCGCTTTCGGCAACGAGAGCGGTGAGCAAAGGCATGACGCATCCCTACGAAATCTAAACAACCGCTTGAATACTGGGTAAACGAACAGTTCGCTTCGAACGCTCGTCGTCATGGACGGCATCCTATACCAGCGGAACATGCATCCCGTGGGAGAGAAACTACTCCTCGTAGTACCCACTCACCTCCACTCGACCGCACTTCAGCAACTACACGATGTCCCAGGGGCCGGTGACCTTAGTGTTGCCAGAACGTATGACCATGTCCGCCGATGCTTTTTCTGGACCGGCCACTATACGTTTCGTAAAACGTTCTGTACCTTCTTGAAAGTCGTGTCAACGACGCGAACGTCCAGCTGTACACCCCGCCAAGCTCATTCAACCGATCGACATACCAAGCTGCTGAGCTTTTCTTTCGTGGCGACCTCGAGCTGTTAGAAACAGGGAAAGGTTTGCTTTATAACAGCGGTAACAGGTGGGCAACCTTCGCTACAGATTATTCGACCCGTTTTGCCGTTACAAGACCTCTCCCGACAACTGCGCTAGAGACGTGGCCGACTTTATGATACAAGACATCGTCTTACACCACGGCGCTCCTCGTTACTTGTCACAAACCACCGTTACTACATTTTATCTAAGGTAATCGATGACCTACTTCGTTCTTGTGCAACGAAGCACAAGCTTGCGATGGTCTGTCATCCCCAAACGAACAGCCTGACTGAACATTTGAATCACACGCTCACTGACATGCTCGTCATGTATGTCTCGACTGATCGTCACGACTGGGACACTGCGCTACCCTTTGTTCCTTTCACTTACAATAGTTCACGCCACGACACTGCTGAATATTCATATTTTTCACCTTTTGCATGAAAGATAACCAACATTGCCATTCGACACGATTGCACCCAACCCTGCCTACATGCCCGTCGAGTATGCACGCCGCGCACTTAGAACAGCCGAGAAGTCCCGTCAGATTGCCCAGTGACGCCTTTCGGACTCGCAGCTCCGTCAGGAACATAGTGACAGTCACCACCGGAACATTCGGTTTAATCCGGGTGCCCTCGTCTTTCTGTCTTCTCTGTCTCGGCATGTTGGCCTTGTCTAAAAGTTTCTGCTCAAGTATACTCCGGGCCCTACCATGCGCTCTCGCTGATAATTGATGTTACCCAAGGTATAGTCCCTCTGAACGCTTCGGTGCCCTACAAATCTTCAAACGTCATTCATGTCGCTCGCCTAAAGCCGTACCTTTCGTCCAACACTTACTAACAAGTACCGAGTCGGCTCTTTTGCCGTTGGAGGTCGATGTTGCGGGGTTGCAGCTATGACTTTTCTGTGGTTTGTGAAGAAGAAAACAACGACGTGGTGTTCAAAAAATACAACAGTCACCATTTTGACTGCTGTGCTAGTTTCCTACTGCAAAGAAGTAAAAAAAAATTGGCAGATAACAAGTACTTTGGGAATAGACGTTATGATAAGCATGTGGAGGGAAAGTGATAGTGTTGTAATGTTTTATTGAGTGACACGTCATAAATGAATGCTAAATAGTTTCGCTATTTGTGCGTGGTGGAGCCTTTTTGGCGAATAGTGGAAGAGGACAAAGATGTTCGGCTTAAATTTCATATTCCCAATTTCCAGCCAATCCCCCTGAGTGGGCAAGAGCCATAGTGAATGCATCATCATCATCATCATCATCATCATCATCATCATCATCATCACTGACGTGCTGAAAGCCAGACTATTGTGGACTTTTATTTTAATACCGCTACAATCTGGTAGAAGTGCCGGGTACGACCATTTTGCGCTATTTCAACCTTACAACGAGTTCCTATCACCATTTCCACGATTCTGGAGAAAACCAGCTACTTCGGCACAGTCGTCGCTTGTTAGGGCTACCTCCAGAGTTCGACCCTTTGCGCTCAGCAGGAATGTTCACCAAAACGGCAAGTCAGACGCAAGAGAGCGGCGTAGCGACTGCCATCTCGAATGTGGTCTATCCAGCAGGTACCCAAAGTCCTTTCATGGCGATGTGTTCGAGGAGATGGACGATTGGACGTGGACACTTCGACCAAGTCGCAGCAGCCAACAAGTGGGGCGAAAGAAGGAAACTGCGCTATGTCTACTTCGCCCTCGAAGACTATGCTTGTACGTGGTATTAGAATCAGAGTTCTCTGAACACCTGGCAAGACTTCGTATGACAGTTGCGTGAGACATTTAGGAATTCCGAAAGAAAAGAAAAAGCTCAGCAAGCGCCGCAGAGCCGAATTCAGGACCCCAACGAAAGCGTGGCTATGTTTGTTGAGGACATGTAGCACTTGTTCAAACGTGCTGACCCAGACAAGGCTGAGACAAAGAAAGCCCGTGTTTCTAATGCGTGGGGTGAAAGAGCCACTTTTTATTGGCCTCATGCGCAGACCCTCATCTACCGTCGCTGAGCTCATCGCCGAAGCAATGAATATGGAATGGACGTTTCCGCAACAAGCTTCAGTCCGATTAGTAAGTATGGTCGCCGCCGTGTCATCGTTCGCCGATGGACACGACGTAGCAGCACTCCGGAAGCACTACGTTGCTACGTTGCAATACGTATAAATGTTGCATGCACATACATATGTTGAAGAGTTGCAGATGTATATATAACCAGTTCTACGCACTTTTACAGCGATGCCCACAGAAGCATGAGTATTATCAATGCCAGAAGTGACAGGCGTATATGAAGCACTGGGCTCACGAGGATGGTAGCCCTGGACACTGGAAACTGGATACGTAGATGAACCTCAGGGCATGGCCCCCAACTACGATTGACGTTAAACCGACGTGACGGCAGCATCATAAAAGGGTACTTATATGTAATATTTACAAAATTGGTTGCCGGCTCAGCGCAACCACAATTGACGCTTTAAGAAACCCAAGGCCTATTTGAAAAGTAGTTGCAAGACCTGGCGTGGCTCTGTGGTAGAATGCTCGATTGCCACGCAGAATGCTTGAGTGCGATTCCAGCTGGGACCCTCACATTTATTCTTTGCATTCATTGAGACAACGCTGCTCATGTCAGGTTTTTTTTAACGTTCACGCGTTAAAGTTGCCCACGTGTGTTGTCGTCGTTCCTGGGTAGATAAGTGTCAATGACATGTGGCACATACCTGCATACCAGTGACACATACTCACTCGCGGATATATGCCACTGTTTCTTGAAAAGTGATGATGTACGCGGCGGGATTGGGATATTATTCACCTCTTGACCAACGCATCATATTCGTCAAACCATCTTACCCGCCCATGCTAAATTTGGTTCAAGCCATGTTAAAAGGGTGATCACCCACGCGTAAGCAGCTAGACAGATAGATAGACAAATATGTAGACAGACGCCAAACGTGCTTTCAACACGCGAAGAAATGTTTCTAATTTATTATCCGCAACAATATATCGCTTGTATATTTCTGTATGCGATTTTCATATCTATATTTTGGTATTGATTCATTATTATTATTAACACTCTAAGAAATAATCGCGTAAAAAGGATGTCTTTTTGTCCTACAACGCTAATCGCCACCTGCGTTGCATTATCGGCGCGCCATTGGCACTTTCAGATCAAGAACGAGATGGGTATTATCAGCGTGTCATATAATTATTGATAAGAAAGTGGCCAGCACGGATCTTTCAAGAAAGGAAGTGCAATCAAACCAGGTGACGGTTATTGTTGTGAGACGAAAAGGTACCCTTTTTACTTTATCATCATTTAGAGTGAGGAATCTCACAATGTATACCTTTTTGATCACAGCACTGGGTTCCAATTTTTTTTTTCTGTTTTTTACATGAAACTACCTTATGCCGGGGTCAACTAAGACTTCAGTGACGTATTTCCGCCATGAATATGACGTTGCCAAATAAAGGCTATGAAATGTCGAAGAAATACTGTGCGATGTCAGTGCATGTTAAAGAACCCCACGCGGTCAAAATTTCCGCAGCCCTCCTCTACGGCGTCTTTCATGACCATATGGTGGTTTCGGGACATTAAGCCCCACAGAAAAAGAAATGCGAAAAAGAAAAAAGTTTAAAAAAGTCTTCTAATAACTACTTTTATGAAGACATGTTTCACTTTCGTGTGATACCGATTCCTGTGAGGGAGGGATCAGCTATTTGTTTTTGTACCTGCATGCCTAACTTGTATGCCTACTTGCTATGGTCTCGAAAGAGCCTGGTGGTATTCAAAATAAATAAATAAATAAATAAATAAATAAATAAGTATTAAATAATAAATAAATCATCAAGAATCAATACTAACAAGCTAACTCTACTCTGTAATATTCTTCCCATTGCCTTATCTTCATTGTTGGTTAGCGAACTAGAGGCTTATCTGTTTAACCACTGTGCCTCCCCCACTTCCACCTCCCCTGGTCGACGTAATGACGCTTGTTTTACTGACGCTTGCTTTTGCACGAGTGTAATGAAGTGATGAATTGCAATGCGACTATTGCGTTTTCGTGTTTTCGTTTTTTTTATTGGTCTTCTGACATCAGCCGCTTGAGTTCCGTCGGTGACACTCCGTTCTGGAAAAAAGAATAAAAAGCAAGGCATGATTCATTAGAAACAAGCCAATCAAAATACACACACACACACACACACACACACGTATATATATATATATATATATATATATATATATATATATATATATATATATATATATATATATATTATGACACACTTATTATAGGGCACACGCAGTACCAGGACGGACACACACATATATCAACAGGATTATATCACCAAATTATAATGTACGGTGAAGTCTGAGCAGTAACAAAGGGCATATTTTCACATCGATGGAAATAAACAACGGGATAACATGGGTGACTATGTACAGCGAAGATATTTAACAACAGAGCGTTAAAACAACCCGATGAGCTAACAATAACATAAGTAAACAGCCAACAAAAATGGGCTTAAACAACAAGAAAGAAACCGGTGTAAGGCAACGAAAACAGATATGCAAAGAAAACGTAAGTGAATTGCGTGGCTTAACAGTACGTTATGTTGGGCTAGTTGGTACATATTAGGTTGAAATACGTGGCGCTAGGTTGCCAATGAGAAGAACGAGAAGAGACAGAAAGAGCGCCATTTTGGTGCTCTTTCTGTGTCTTTTTGTTTTTCTCATTGGCAACCTTGCGCCACGCAGTTCAACTGAATTGCTTGGCAATTGTGATAATTAAACATAAAAAACTGTAGAATAAAATCAACGCCTAAGCAAAACTTGGATACATGGCACTCATGAGAATGGAATAGAACAAAAATGTAGGTAAGAGGTTGAGAACTGATGAAAGCGGCAGACTTATTACGTGGAATTTAGCTTTGTCCGTGACATAGTGATCCCGTTGCTAATCTTGCGCCCGGGAACGTAACATTTCGCGCGCTTCCGTTAATGCCGGCATGATTCACGTGCTTTCCATTCATTGTGAGGCTGAAAAGAAGCAAGATTATACAATATGGTTGCTGTTACGTCATCAAATGAGTGCCCTGTCTTATTCAGGTGTTTAGATAAGGGCAGATTAGAAAAGTTGTGACGTGCTCCTTGCGAATGATAAACCGCAGTCTGATTGGCGTCGCTGTCTTGCCTATGTACCGAGGCCTGTGTACTGATTTAATTTATTTGCATCTGTCTCGATTTTTCGGTCTCGTAAAAGATGATTTTTCGCTGACATCCACTGACGCCAATACCGGAATTTAGGCGAAACGAGCTCTTTAACGCTATCGCGTTAAAAAGACGTCCTTTGCTCTCGACTTTTTTTTTTCGAGTATATGATCGATCAGAAAACGGATTGCACGAATACGTTTTCCTGGTGAAATACGTGATTGCGGGAGCGGGATATTCGAGTGTTGCCAGAAAAAAAAAATGCGTGCCGTAAATTAGTGAAACATGTGCGAATACAGGTTGGCGGCACACTTCACTTGGTCTTGCTTTGTTTAAGACTTTGCGTGTGTATGCTTACCGTCGTAGGAAGAGGCTCCTTGAGTACGTTGTCGGTGCTTTTCTTGACGTAATTGCTCATGTACTGCCGGACGAACGGGCATATGTACTTGGGGTTCACCTCTTCCTTCTCGTTTCTCTCTGTGAGAAAGCGAAATAGATAGATAGATAGATAGATAGATAGATAGATAGATAGATAGATAGATAGATAGATAGATAGTAGGAAAGAAGGAAAAAAAGAAAAAAAGTCAGCAGTCAAAGATCCTTTATTTCGCTAAGAATAAAAAAAAAGAAGCATTAGTTTCGTTCTGTATGTTAAAGCACAATATTAATTAGAGCAGAAAATGACGCGAAGGCAAGTGCAGTGAATGTTACTGGAAGTAGATTTAAGGTAGACGTGAAGATGGAAAAGTGAACAATAAGATAACTTGTTACCAGCACGATCCCAGAATTTCTCCTCCGAATAACGCGTTCAATGATATATATATACCAGTCGGCTACCCTGGCTGTAATCCCCCGTCTAATTTTTAGGATATATACAGGGTGCCCCATATTACTTGAGCCAAGAATTTGAAAAATGAACGACACTTCAGTGGCGAATCGAACTAAACGCGTACTACTCGCACTATCCTGTAGGTACTCAGGCTATTTTTTTATTTCTCCCCATACTAATTCATTATTAATTTTGAATATTCTATTTTTGTAATTATCGGCTGGAAACCCAAATTATGAACACTGAGATGCAGAGCACTTTTAGAAGCCACCGACAAAATGGTTTCCTGTACGATACGTCTAGTGCTGTTATTTTTTCCGTGTTGTAAAGAAAGCCTGTAGTAGCACTATATCAACGGGCTCGCGGTCCGTCACACCGCTTATTTTCACGTTTCCCGGGCTTTCTATAGTTTTACTTCGACGCCCCGTCGCACACGTAAAAAATCGCCCACACAAAGAGTGCCTCCACCAGCCTGCCGAGACGTGGACAGTGCTGCCAGCATCCAGGACGTCGATCCAAGCTTGCCGGTGGCTCAGTCGCTACCTCCACAGGGCACGTCTTTGGAAGACAGCTTCAGCCTAGGACTGGATGGTAGCATGAGACTGTCTAGCCTTGGTGAAGCTGACGTCTAAATGGGAGCTCCACGTGAAACAAAGCGAGGGCACACTTCCAGCTCTTGCTCCGATGAGCGCAGTGATGGCCGTGGTAAAGTTAGCAGTATAGCTTTACACAATGCTTTTAATGAAACAAGCTTAATCTCCAAATGAAAACTGGTCCAATGGTCCAAAAAACCTCGACCCTCTTCTGGAGGGTCGAACAGTGCGTTGTGATTTGGTTGAGCAAGTGTCCCCTGGACACTTTCCAGGACACCGTCTAGAACTATGCGTCCAGGTTAGTCTTTACTTTTCATGATGGCTACTACACTGTATATTATTTCATTGAACGTTCAAGGTCTCCACAGTCCGGCAAAGCCGACTGAAGTGATTAGTGTCGCCCGCGCTGCAAATTGTGATGTTTTGTGCCTCCAGGAAACAAATTTCTTCTCGCTAGCTGACGTGCTTGTACTTAAACGAAAGTTCAACCTATATAGATTGTTATTTATCTTTCGCTTCATCGCATTTTATGTGAGTAGGCATTATTATTTTTAAATGGACTTTATGGCGGGATCATACTTTTTAGGATGGTGTGGGTAGGGTTTTAGCTTTAGACTGCAGCTACTTTTCTTTCAGATCAAGGATACTGTGTGTTATGGGCCATCACAAGCTTGACAGTCTAATGATTTTTTTAGAGAGCAGGATGTGTTTTTTTTTTCGACGGTCGTAATCTTATTTTATTTGGTGACTTCAACTGCGTTATAAATACTCCAAACGATGTCCAAGGTCCTGGCTGGCGCCGGTCTGCTTGGAATTAACGTGAGCTGCGACGCCTTGTCCAACACATTTAATTACTGGACGCGCACAACGTAGTGCACGGAAATGCCGTTGTTTGAACATGGTGACGCGGATCCTCCAGCAGGCTTGACCAGGTTTAGTTCCACGTGCGTTAGAGGCGTTTGTTTCCGATTTATTCATTCTGTTCTCCCACCTTCTCCTGCGTACGTATCTGATCAACGCGACAAAATTTCAAGGCCGAAAGGCTGCCGAAGTGACGTCAGAGGTTGGGGGCCCAGTTGCCCAACTGAGCATGCTTAGTAAGACTTTTTTTTTACATTTTTATTCGGCCCAATCTAGCCGCAGCAGCTGCGAGAGCGGGAGCGTTGGTTCTCCTAAAACGTGAACGAAACACAGGCTTTCCGCCGCGTTCGCGGCGTAACTGCGCCCCCACCCTCTGACGTCACTGCGGCAGCCTTTCGGCCTTGAATTTTAGTCGTCGTTGATCTGATCACCGGCCTATTGTCTTGAAGCTCGAAGTTCCATTTTCCTTTTCGTAAAAGTTATGGCGTCTTGATGATCGCGTCCTGCAGGACGTGTGCTAAAGATCAGATTTGTCACGCGCAATACGTGTGTCGCTGACAGCGTCCCGTCCTGAAACGCAGTGGAGCCTGCACTGCTCAGTAGAGGGTCTGAAGAGCTTGCTGACACTGCAATGAAGTTATGCATTGCTTTGCGTGCCGAAACGCCTTGTCCTCTGTGACCAATGGGGTCCCAGAATAAGTACTCCACCCACTATGAAGCCTCTATGAACCCTTTACGAAGCCTCTCCTCTTTTTTAAAGATGATAGTATTTATTGGGCACCTTCGTCGCTAAAATTTTGGTCTGTCTGTCTGTCTGTCTGTCTGTCTGTCTGTCTGTCTGTCTGTCTGTCTGTCCATTTGTCTGTTCGTCTAATCTTAACGGCACTGGGTACTTGAAACCGCCGACCCCATCCGCAGCGCCCAGCAATGTAGCTCAAGGCAACGCCTCCTAGATTGCTCAAGGTTTAGCGTTCGTACTTGTGCAATTGTCAATTAAGAAGCAATTATTACGCCCGTCTGGGTCACAATAACAACACGCATATAATCTGCGTGCGCGTCTTTTACTAGAAAACGCATACATAGGTAATTTTAAGGACCATAGCGCTTATCACGCTGCGCTGACCATGCAACGCTTGCACGAAAAGGCGAGAGTTTCATCGCTTCGCTAAGATGAGATGGTGGTGGCACCTACCCGTCACCTTGCGTTCTACACCTTAACACCACCGAGACGGGCGTGCACACCCGTGTTAGAGCCACGCGCTATGTTAAGAAAAAAAAAACTGCCAGATAGCGATCATGTCTCACGTGTGACGTGACTTGATGCGCTCGTTCGCCTACGCTGCACGGTCGAGGCACTCTAGCGCACCGCCTCCAGAATACCATTCACTGATTCTTGTGCGCAGAACATCGAATAGATGTTTTGTTCACTCTCTCCACACGCAAGACTATCGTTTTTCGACGAAGTTTGCAGATTAACATGCAGATACGGGTGAATTTTTTTTTCAATAAATGTTTTCCCTGACTCTTGACTCTTCTCCTCTGATGGGAGCTTGGCAGCGTGAACTGCGTGAACGCTGCAGTGCTTAACTGCTACTTGGTCCCTGGTGGCCGCAGTGCGGCGCAGCAGACACAACCCATGTGCCAATCCTGAGGTGCTGCGCTACGCGAGACATTCGTTTTTCGGGCAATCACAGCCATCCGACTCTATGTAAACACAATTACCACCTGCGCAGCCACTTCTTACGCGTGATCGATATGTTTTTTGTGCATTTTCAAGCAATGTCGTATTCGGCTATGCGGACAAACTGTGATGTAACACTGACAATGCTTGGAGGTATGCTCCGTATTCCTCAACAAGCTGCTGATTGCCTGCACATACCTCCATCGGCTGAAGAAGTAAAGGTGGCACTGAAAGCTATAAAACGTGGAACGGCCGCTGGGCCAGACAGTTTTCCTGTTTAGTTTTATTTCACATATTGGAATGAGATTGGTGCTGCCTTTACCACGGTTATTCGGCGATGTTACGAGGACGGTGTCTTTCGACACAGTTTTCGAGATGGACGCATTGTGCTTATCCCAAAAGGTGATGCTTCCTTTGTTAATCCTGAAGATTTGGAGACCTATCACACTCCTCAACGTTCACTATAAGATATTAGCGACTGTAATCGTTCTACGTTCGAGGGATCTGCTGAACGCCCTGGTGGGTCATCATCAGGCTTCATCAGTGCCTGGACGAGAAATTCACAGCTTGTCATTTACCACACACGATATTATAACTTATACTCTGCCGTGGTCTGCACATGGTATCCTTGTGTCTTTGGCTGAGGAAAAAGCATTTGAATGACTAAAACACACGTATATCTTTAATCTGCTCACAACCTTTGACTTTCCTCACTCGTTTGTGGAAATAATCAGATATATCTACACTGGTCTAAAAAGCACACTAGTTCTGGATGGCTGGGAAAGTGCGCCTTTTCCACTACACGTGGAATCCGTCAGGGATGTTCATTGTCTCCTGTGCTGTTTGTTTTCAGCCTTGAGCCATTTTTGCGTGCTCTTGGCGCGGATTCACGTGTCCGGAGTCTTGCGCTTTTTGGTAGCAGTGTTGTGAAAGTTACAGCTTTCGCTGACGACATAACCTTGTACCTTTCAGATGAAAATAGCCTTTCACGCAGCCTACATGTATTTTCCCAATAAGGCGACATTTCAGGTGCAGCGTGTTGAACATCCCCAAATCCCGGTATTCCTTCATTTGCTCTCCAAACTCCAGGCTTAGCGCCGTTTTTTCTATTCAGATGGCTGCGTCATTTCGTATTTTGGGTATTTTATACAATAACTACGGCATATATGCGAATCCGTTTGGTTAACTGCCGACCGATCGAGCAGGGTGATTGGCCGGCAGTTAAGAAATGCAATAATGCTGAAATAGCCTACCAACAATTTTCCTCGATCATTTCAAATGCAGTCACGGCCGTTTCAACATTAGTAGTAAGCAGAAAAAAGTACCTCGTCCCAATTAATTCATGGTTGACACCTAACCTGCTAAAATGTCTGCGGAAAAAGGATAACTTATACAAAAAGACGAAAAAGTGCCCTTTCAATGTTCACCTTCACAAGCGCCATAAAGAATACTCAAACACATTAGGAAAGTTACTTAAAGCCGCTAAACTAATGTATTTCGAAGATAAGATAAAGCGAGCCGGAAATGACGTTAAGCAGCAGTGGAAAACTGTGAACAATTTTCTTGGCAGGACTACGGTACATTCAGATATAACCTTGATTTACTCATAAAAACGTATGATCGATAACCGATCTTATATCGCGAACTCTTTTAATGACTCATTCGGCATTGATATTCCTCAGTCGACAGCACCCCTCGAACACACTTGTTCACGATTACCACATTCATTCTTCCTTTATCCGACGTCACCTGAGGAAGTGTTCACCGTTATCAATAGTATTAGGAATAGAAGCGCTGGTCTCGATAAGTTCTTTGCTGCCGACGTGAAACTGATAGCTCATTTAATCTGTGATGCATTATGTCATATTATAAATCTTGTATTTGGAACTGGATTCTTCCCTACATCTCTGCAAAAAGCAAAAATTATTCCCGTTTTTAAAAAAGGCGACAAGCGTTTAATCTCCAGTTACCGGCCTATAGCAATTATTTCATTCTTCAGTAAGGTCATAGAAAAGCTTTTTGTGGGACGTTTACGGTGTTATCTAGATAAGTTTCACATTCTTTCTAACAAACAGTTCGGTTTCAGGCCCGGTTACTCAACTGAACGCGCCATGATATCGCTAACAGAGGAAATTAAATATGCTATTGACAGCGGTAGTGTTGTTCGAGGTGTTTTTCTTGACCTTTCAAAAGCATTTGATTCAATTTCGCATGACATTTTATTTCAGAAACTAGAATCAATTGGTGTATCTGGCGTCCCACTAGAACTAATTCGTAACTATCTGCGTGATCGAAAACAGGTGGATTATGTGCCCGGTACCCTTTCCAACCCTAAAACCATAAACATCGGTGTTCCACAGGCTTCAATTTTGGGCCCGCTTTTATTTTAATTTATATAAACGATCTTCCTCAATGTCTAGCACATTCGTCCTGTATACTCTATGCGGACGATACCACTATATTAACTACAGATAAAGACGTTGACTCGATGTTGTTTCAACTATATACCGATTTGCGAAATATCGTTAAATGTTTCAATAAGAATAAATTAAACATAAATGCTAAAAAGTCAAACTTCGTTGTATTTTCGTCACCTAATCGAATTATATTTAGGAACCCCTCTGTCTTCGTAAGCGATACTCAAATTCATTCTACCTCTAGTACAATGTTTCTCGTGGTCAAATTAGATGAACATTTAAAGTTTAATTCACATGTTTTAGAGCTTACGCGGAAAGGCGCATATGCTATTCGAATATTTCTAAAAGTTCACCCGTTCTTTGTTTTGAAATATTGTTGTCACTTTACTGCGCTTTTTTTCATAGCAACATAATCTATTGCATTTCATCATGCGGAAATACGAATTTCACTCTTTTATCAGCCATCCAACATCTTCAAAACCAAGCATTGAGAATAATAACGTTCAGTGGCTTTATGTCCAATGCATCATCCTTACTCTGTTTGCATGGAGTTTCATCAGTTCAGAAGCTGGCTAAATACTTTCTCGGCATTTTTATTTACAAATATGTGAATGGAAAGTTTCCGATTCCTTTACTACACTCAAGTCAGTTTCCTCAGGCGTCATCGACTCGTTTTGCAAAGGCTAATAACTTCCTTTTACCCAAACCTAGGACTAATTATGGCAAGTTTACCACAAAATTTTCATCTGTTTCCCTGTGGAATTCTTTACCTTTGGAGATCAAAAATAGATCTCTCGAAATGTTCAAAAAAGGCTTGCATTCGCACTTATTAAATTCCTAATGCATGATATTATATGAATTGAATGTTATTGCATTTTTCTGTTAGTTTTTTGTGCTCATCGGTACACCTTGTATAACTTATGTTCGCTATTACATGTTTATCTGTACACTTTGTATATCCTAATTTTTCTATTCTTACCGTAATAATGCTTGATATTATACAGGGTGAATGTTATTGCATTTTCGTGTTAGTTTTTGCATGCTTAGCTGTACACTTTTTATAACTTACGTTCGCTATTTCGTGCTTATCTGTACATTTTGTATACCTTAAATTTTTTTTCCTTACCACTATTTAATATTGCGTTGTATCTCTCATGTATGATTTTATAGGAGGTGTCACTCACAGTCTCGTGACTTTGAGACCACCTTCTGTATTTGTATATAACACATGCACTTGTATCACTTGTATTTCAATTCTGAATAAACAATTCTGAATAAACAAAAACGCCCTCGTAGAAGTAAGACTAAAAATTCAAGACGCACGGCATTTTAACTTTCCGCTTCTTGAGTGCAGGTACCTTGCGCAGACTGTATTTTGCGGTCGCATTTGGTACCTTTCTCACGTCGTGCAACCGTCTTTACGTATCGTGCGATCACTGAAGCCAGCTTTGTGTTCCTTTTTCTGGTCAGGCGACACTGAGTTGGTCTTTCGTGCGGCACTGAGACAGCATCGTTCTCAGGGAGGCTTTTCTTTCTCTTCAGTGTCCATGCGCTGTCGGCGGCTGGCACTGCACTTCCTTTTGCGCCTAGGGCAAGGGGAGAAATCTCCCGCACGAACGCTTGCGTATTACTTTCTGTGTACCCACCTTTGGCATTTTATGCCTAATGTGCACCTTAACAGGGGGCCACAGTCAATAACACTTCCTGCGTTTTATGCAACAGCTGTTGCATTTATTCGTCATGTTCAGTCAACCTGTCCTGGCATAGATGTGTTGAACAACCATATAGGTCAGACTACTGCTGCTTTGTTGCTTCTGTTGGTTCCCCCAGCCCGCCGTGCTCGCTCTAGTCGGGTGTCTTGAAGCACGTTAACGGCTTCTTTACCGCCTGGACATCTCTGATACTTCTTGTGGCGCCTGAGCTAGGGTGTGCTTCCCACCCTCGACTGCATCGAAAGGTGGAGAATGATCCAGTCAGAAACATGCCCGAACTGCTCCCCTTCGGGAAACAAATCGGTATTTTCTGGGGCATTGTGTCAATGCTCGTGTTTTTTGGGCATTCATACATGCTGGATTTCGCTGCCTCAGAGTAAATCACTTCGTTTTTTCTGGGCCTTGTTGTCGAGGCCGCTTCGCTTGTCTTCTCATTGTAGCTGGTTTTTCTGCCTCTGGCACAGCCGCTGCGAGGTGGTTGCAGCGGGCCGCCGCCGCCGCGCGCTCCTTCCGATCCTAGAGCGATTGTACTCGGAGCTGCTGTTTGTTTTGTTGGAGGAGCTCTTCTTCCTCGGTGAAGAGGAATTCCTTCGGCACTGGTCTTGCCCTTTTGTGTCGGTCTGTGATGAACGAGTGAAACTTGTCTTTCGGCCGGCCTGGTATTGGTAGGCTGATGTGTCGATGCGTCGGCATAAATGGCATGCCAACATGTAAATATACGAAATGTACATAATCATGTTTTATTTGTGCCTCTTGTTTACCTTGCAATATTCATACGTGTATCTATTCTTTTCTGACACATTTTTGTGTTGCTGTGGTCGTGTGAATTACAGAATGTACATGTTCCATCCACGTCATCTCATATCCATGTTCATGTAATTGAAGTCTGTTTTGTCATCATCGTTACTGTATGTCTAAAAAGCAAATGTTCTGGTGAAATGTTATTGACGTCTGTGACAATAAGTTTTTATAAACACACGTAGGAGGTCCACGGGAGTCGGCTTTCAGCTCTCCCATAGCAGAGTACTAAGTACTCTAAGTCATTAACCACTTTTTTCTAAACACTCGCTGAGCGCCTTACCAATAATACCAGGACCTCATTGAAGTATATGGCCTACGGGACGGCTATATGCCCTCTAATAGTAGATTACCAAGTGCTCTAAATTGTTAACTACCTTTTCTAGACGGTCAGACCTGCCTAACCCTAATATGTATACGAGCGTCCATTGCTGTTCTCGCCACAGGACTTCAGAATTTTCGTCGACAAGGCCTAATACAGTATGAGGTTCACGGGATGGCTATATGGTCTCTCATAGTAGAGTACCAAGTACTCTAAATTGTTAAACACTTTTTTTATAAACACACACGACAAGCCTTGCTTGCCGAAAAAGGGAAAAAGTAAAAAAAAAACATTTGCCTTAGTTTTTTTTTTGTTTTTGGGGGTGTTTACGCCCATTCTGTTATTTCCGTGCTCTGTGCGGGGTGGATACATCAAACAAAAGCCCGTTTTATCTCAACACGTCCCGTCCAACGGGGCAGGATTGTTGCGGCTGAGACTCACCGAAAACGAGGCTGACTGCTAGAGACACCACCATGTGCGTGAGGAAGCCGACAATGCCGATCCAGATGAATGAGATGTGGTAGAACTGGAAGATTCCGCTGCGGTTCGATGAGAGAAAACGTTCACGCTCTTGCAATAAAACAGATCCACTGTAAAATGTCAATAACCTTGCCAACTGCAAGAAGAAAATACTGGGTCCCATTAAATACTGCTTATAGTGAACAGATCCATATAAAACAGTGATAATTGCGGAGAAATACTTTGTGGCAATCACTAACTTAATATCAATTGGTTTGATGACAGCGTGTAAACATTGGTATTAAAGAGCCTTTCAAACACTGATTGGCTTATTAAATAAATAATTAATTATTTACTCATTCATTCATCCCATGAACCTTTTTTTTAAATTTCAAGACATTCCATACATGCGACATTGATTGGTATTGATCTATATGTGGGGTTTAACGTTCCAAAATAGCTATATGAATATGAGAGACGCTGTAGTGCAGGGCTCAAGAAATTTTGACCACCTGGAGTTCTTTAACGTGCACTCAAATCTGAGCACACGGGCCTACAGCATTTTCGCCTCCATCGAAAATACAGCCGCCATGCACTGCCGGCATTCGAACCCGTGACCTGCGGGTCAGCAGCCGAGAGCCTTATAGCCACCAGACCACCGAGGCGGGGCATATACAAGCGACTTTGGGAACATGGCAGAAAACAGCAATCCGCTCTTGGTATTGAATCGTCCCACGGGCATTTTACAAAGAACATGTGTTTGCATAGAACCTTGAATATGAAACTTGAAAAAAAAAATTACGCAAATAGCTTGGAGTAATGCACCCTTACTACCACTGCGAAGATGTCACTGGTGAAGCGATCACTACACGTCCAGGACGACTTTCACTACGCGCCCACATCCTGTGAATGCGAGCATTTCGTTTCTGCTGTAAAGTATTCGCAGTGCAAAAGCAGAATCGTATAAACCACTTGCGATGAGCGTCAATATAACCGCATCTTGAACGCCCTCGTTATGGTGCTCCTCAAGATTTTAGCCAGAATTTCGTCTGTAGCAAAAATGCATTGAGATACAAGAGACTGTTCTTTAGAAAGAACAGAGATTTTCGCCAGCAGCTGCGCAAAGAATTCGTTGCTTTGTTATTGCACAGGGATCAGTGTGGCCTAGAATGCATGCCCCGGTGATTACTCTTAATACGCGGCGTCGGCGTAAAATGGTATTTTGGTAACATCCCATAACGGTCTCATAAACATTGTTGTGTTAATCGCATTGCAAAACATTATCTGTAAATCGGCGGTCACTGCATCTTGGGAGCACCATTTATATTGGGTTATTTAAGAGGTACTACTTGTGAAGTTTACAACACAGCCCCACCGCGGTGGTCTACTGGCTAAGGTACTCGGCTGCTGACCCGCAGGTCGCGGGATCGAATCCCAGCTGCGGCGGCTGCATATCCGATGGAGGCGGAAATGTTGTAGGCCCGTGTGCTCATATTTGGGTGCACGTTAAAGAACCCCAGGTGGTCGAAATTTCCGGAGCCCTCCAGTACGGCGTCTCTCATAATCATATGGTGCTTTTAGGACGTTAAACCCCACATATCAATCAGAGTTTACAACACAATTCAGCTATCGGTCTGGTTATTATCCGGGGTCATTATCAATCGCTCACCTCGGTAATGGTGGGGGGTCGAATGAGCCAGCCGTGATGGTCTGATTGAAGTCGACGCAGCCTGCGGTGGACGTGGGTAGGTCGTCTGCATCGCGCGGGTATACGATGGAGCCTAGAGCGAGCCACCAGGACGTTGCCATGGCTACCAGTATTCCCGTAATGGCACCCTGCGTCATACGTGTCAAATGCCGTTGCAATCACCTAAATCTATCTATCTATCTATCTATCTATCTATCTATCTATCTATCTATCTATCTATCTATCTATCTATCTATCTATCTATCTATCTATCTATCTATCTATCTATCTATCTATCTATCTATCTATCTATCTATCTATCTATCTATCTATCTATCTATCTATCTATCTATCTATCTATCTATCTATCTATCTATCTATCTATCTATCTATCTATCTATCTATCTATCCATCCATCCATCCACCCATCCATCCATCCACCTATCCGCCCGTCCGTCCGTCCGTCCGTCTATCTATCTAATGACCACCCCCTTAACTTGGCGTTAACCGAAATTATCATGGGAAGGTAAGATGATTTGACGAATAGAACGCACTGGTCAAGACATGAATAATGTCACAATACCGTCGCGCACGTCGTCAAACACCTTCCGCCAGACAGTGGCCCATACGCACGGGCAGATATGTGCCACAGGTGGTTGACATTCAGTACCTACCCAGGAATGACGAGAACACAGACGACTAACTTCAACGTGTGAGCGTTTTAAGAAAAAGCTGACATTGACAGCGCTGACTCGACGGATGCAAAGAATAAATGTCAGGGTGCCAGCAGGAATCAAACCCCAGCATTCTGCATGGCTATAAAGTAGTCTACAATAAAGTCACGCCAGGTTTCGGAAATACCTTTCAAATAGACCCTACAATGAAAGTGAAACGTTAATTTGGGTTGCACTTCTGGCTATCCAATTTTATGAACATTAAGTATGTACTCCTATGGTATAGCTCTACGTAAGGTTAGCTGTCATGCACTGAAGCTATTTATGTAGCAGTGTCCAGGACTACAATTTTGCGAGCACCAGCGCTTCGTATCAGTTTATCACTTATGGTGTTGCTAATACTCATGTTCCTGTTGGCATTGTTGCGCAAGTACAACCAGTGGGTTATACAAACATCTGCAACTGTTCAACATATGCCCGGGAATTAAAAAGAGCGCAAAAATATAGACAAGGACAGGGGAAGAGATGACACCTTGTCTATATTTTTGCACTGTTTTTACTTCCCAAGTATGAACCAGCAACTAGCCCAACTTTCGCTATTATTGAAACATATGCCCATTCGTGCCAAATTTCTACATATATTTAGCGTCGTTTTATGACGTGTCACTCATTAAAAGTTACAACAGGGCCAGTTTTTGTCCGCATGCTTCGCATAACATCGATTCCGAAGGCACGCGGGATCTGCCGAATTTTATTTGAGCTGCCTTGAGGCTTTTCTGCTATACCGAAAACCGTACACTTTTAGTGAGAAGAGGCTAGGCAATTCTTGTTGGGCTAGGTCGTGTATGCTGTGTGTAAATCCTATAGCGTAGTGTGAAGGAAAAAAAAAAGAGCCAGAAAAAGGACACACATACTGGACGGGCTCTAAATTTCAAGGTTTTATATCTTGACGACAATAGGCGCACAAACTAACCTCTATAAACGCGTGATTAAGGTGCGTGTACTCTCACTTTGCGTTGTTTTTAAGGTCGTGTTTTTGGCGCTTTATCTAATGCTGATACATGCTCAGTATTTCGGAAAGTTTGGAAAAGCGAAGAAAAAACAGGAGCCTTTCTTTCTTTCTTCCTTCTTTCCTTTCTTTCTTTCTTTCTTTCTTTCTTTCTTTCTTTCTTTCTTTCTTTCTTTCTTTTTTTCTTTGTTTGTTTGTTTGTTTCTTTCTTTCTTCTTTCTTTCTTTTTCTTCCAAGCCGGGAATTAGACTTTCACCCATCGTGCCCTTTTTCATTGGTTAGCGCGGGGTTTTTCACGTACAACGCTATCACCACAGTCACCGAAATCTCTATCTCATATCTATAGCCTTCCTTGAAGTGACTGTCATCTATAAACATGTAAACGCACTATATAGTATGAGGGGTATCGTTTCCGATAGGCTCCATCGAATGTACGAACAAACTGTATCAGCACGCAGGGTACACTTCGTGAAGTAGCCGTAAATGTAAGAGAGAGAGAGAGAGAGAGAGACTCTTTATTAGGAAAAATGAAGATTTTTGCCGGCGTCTATATATCGCTGACATGCTATAGGCTCTGTATAGGGATGGGAAAGGAGACTAAAATATTGCAGTAGATAGAAAGGAAAATAATGTAAAAAAGAAGTTGTGACTAAGTGAACCTGATAAAGTCATTTGCAGTTAGGGTATAAGGTAAATCAAGGTTTTCGTATGTAACATATTGTATTGTTAGAGCCTACGGACAAGACCAATATCGGATAGATAATGGATTAATGACAGTATGACCCGACGATGTTTAGAAGGTCCGCGCACAGGGCCTAATATACATGTCTCGCAATGTTAATTGTTCATGGCAGATCGTGTTCATTTATTGTTCGAACAGTTGCCTCTCATCGCGGTACGCGGATCATTCCAGTAGGATGTCCCGCGTTACGCACTAAATGTAATATAATACAATAGCAATTGTTGAGGTAAACTCCCCAAAACCATCATATGTATATGAGAGACGGTGTAGTGAAGGGAGATCTCCGGAAATTTCGACTACCTGGGGTTCTTTAAGATGCACCTATTTCTAAGCAGACGAGGTGTCTCAAGCATTTCAGTCTCGGTCGAAAATGCGGCGCCCGCGGCCGCGATTCGATCCCACAACCTGCAGGTCAGCAGACGAGTGCCTTAGCCACCAGACCAACATGGTGGGTGTAGCCGTAAATGTGACCCCCCCCCCCCCCCCCTCCTTTTATTTTGTAACAGCACAGCTGTTTAACAAGTTGTTCCTTGAGACTCGATGACATGAAACGGTAATCATTTGAACAAGTTTGTCATAATTACGAATGGGTATATATGTGCCACGTATAAAGGCGGTAAATCCAACTATAATCACCACTGCTCCGCTAAAAATTAAGTGGGAAACAGTTAGCACAGCGACGAATAGCGGCGAAGCGACGGCAGCGAACTGAAATCTCCGAGTACGTACAACGAGAGAATACCATGGGTAACGGTAGAGGCAAAAGTGGCATGCACCGAGAAGACCCCGAAAGCGACGTGCCCGGAGGTCCATGAGAGGTGCGGACGCTTCGTTTCAGCACGAGTTTCTGTCACTGAATTTTGGACCATTGTGTCGCGTGTGTGATTGTCTGTGGTTTCTCTGCGCCGAGAATCCACGCAAAAGCAGCCTAGCATCTCCTATATAAACAACCTAGAAACAACCTCTAGATCTTGAATCACCTGAGTTCTAGAGAAAACCTAGAAGTGACTTGATCAGTCTTCAGAACCACAGTATCGCTCTTTTAAACCTTCCATGGCTTAGTGCAAGCTCTGCTAGTTTTTTTGTGTGTGTGTGTTTGAAAAGGCGTCAAAAAGACCACAGCATTCATAAAAAGAAAATAAAATCGCGCACTACTAGCAGCTGAAGTTTGATCAAAAACGTACAAGGATAGTCACACACACATTACGAAAAAACCCTGACTAAGAATCAGTCAACCGCAGAGTGAGTGTGCATATTAAAAACCACCAAGCACGATTTGGCCGGCAGATTAGGTTACGTCAAGGTATTCTACATCGCGACTTGATAGCGCTAGCGAAGGACAGCTTATGCACACACTTTTGCGATGTAGGCGGCTTCGACAATTTCTCGAGTTTCCTGAGCTCGCTTTCAGAACAAAAGAAGTATTTCCTTAAACAAAGGCTGGCACCCACAAGCCTCACAAAGAACAGATAGGCGCTAAGCTTATCAATCCTCGAAGACCGTTTGTGATCACGCAGACGTTATATTGACACGTCGCCAAATCTGACTAATGCATAAGCGTTTGCAAGTTCTTGGTAATATACTGCTGTCTCCTTCACCTGTAATCAGTTTTTTCACGCTTTTTGCACACATGAGTTTGCACCAACTCACGCAATTGTCCATGTTAAGTATTTTAGGGGCGAAGCACTGAAAGGTGGGGGTCTGTTCATCCGTTGTATGTATGTATGTATGTATGTATGTATGTATGTATGCATGCATGCATGCATGTATGTATGTATGTATGTATGTATGCATGTATGTATGTATGTATGTATGTATGTATGTATGTATGTATGTATGTATGTATGTATGTATGTATGTATGTATGTATGTATGTATGTACGTGACCGCCTATAGTTCCACCTTTGCCAGCTGCCCACTAATCGTCCTCGCAAACTTTACACTATGCCCCTTCAGCGATCCACCACTTCACCGACCATGAAGCAAATATTGTTGAGAAGTAGCAAATAAGAAATGCAAGATGTTCGCGTAATTGTATCCAGATGCATGTTAAAGAAGCATAGATTGTCTCACAGTATCCCCTCTTTGTTTGTACGTGACCACTTTTAGTTCCAATTTTGCAAATTGCCCACTACTGTGTTCTTGCAAACGTCCCACTATGCCCCATTACCGATCCACCCACCATAAAGCCGTTCTAATGAAGGGGGAACGGAAGCGACGTATAGCTACCACTTACGAATTGCAGAATTTTTTTGCAAAAATATATACAGTATTTGTACATATAACACTCCAGTGCTTCGTCCCACTCATCATCATTCACTCCGTGGATATGCTGTGATTTTTTTCTTCCTTCTGACGGAGATGCATTTCGTGCGGTTCGAACACCATTCTTTATATATTTTCGGGAAGCTAACAAGAGAAGATTATGATCGTTTCATAATTCACAATGGTATATAGTGTTTAACGCCCCAAAACCACGGCACTATTATGATGGACGCCGCATGTGGAGGACTCCGGAAATTTTCACCATGTGGTGTCATTCAAGGTGCACTCACATCGCGCAGTACACGGGTATCATTCATTTCGCTTCCATCAAAATGCGACCACCGGGATCGAAACCGCGACCTTCGGGTTGGCAGCCGAATACCATAACCGCCAAAACACCACGGCGGCGGGTGATGCTCGTTTCATTCCTGCAGTGACGGCAGTCCCACCGCCATCACATACACTGCCTGTCACGGTCACCCTCAATTACCTTCTTCTTGCAGCAAGGAAAGAAAGTTCCCAGGACGAAAATGGCCAGCAGGGGACCGGACAGGGCTCCGACCAGCGAAGCCGATGCCTGCACGCAAGAAAAGGCGTTAGAGAGAAAACACGACAGCAGTAAAAAAAATAATAAGCAAAGGTAGTTTTCTTAGCAGGCGTTGCAGACACCCGAGTTTCTTTTTTCTAGAAGTTCACCTTGTCGTGGTCATTTCGGGGGCGTGCTTCACGTGACGACCCAGGCCGGAAGCCGAGTAAATGAGCGGAAAAGCAGCCACCGACCGTTTGATTTGCACGAAACAACACTGCCCGTTTGAAGGAACGTCGAATAATGTTGCACAACCTAATAACACCTAAATGCGAGCTAGCTTGTGCGTATCTATAGATAGGTGAAACAGCGCAATGGAGACACGCCCCAGTAGACTCAGGGCTAGCGCCGACTGCCAACCGATTTAGTTTTGCCTGATAACGCACTAATTTACCTTGAAAGTGTGCGCACAGGGTCGGGGGAAATTATTGATTATTATTGCAGCGCAGGTGTCAAGCAACACGCTTGTTTATCAAGAAAGATTAGTTGCAGAAATATATTAGCGTTCCTTGTCAGACTTATGAAGGACGTGCCGAGGCATTTTGTATTTTTAGACTTATAGCAAAAGCTTGAATACTTCACGAGCAGTATGAACTTTGTAACTGAGCTCAATACACGTGTATATGAAAATTGGTAGGCAGCCATGTTTAGCGCAGTGTATCTCTTTTTCTGTCGCTATTTGTCCTCAGATTGTCTTAAGGCTCGCGAAGACAGTGGTTTCGACAAGATGGCCCGTCTGTACGATAGAGGAAGGGCTGCAGTAGATCGCGATTTCATACGCTACTTCACTCCTGCATGAGGCATAGCTCGTGGAGTGCTTCTTGACGAAACGCTCGTTGGCTGGGTTGTTCTCATTCACCTTTTTTAGGCAGGAAGCTTAGATAGCGTGAGACAAAAAACGAACAAACAAACAAAAACAGTTTATGACTCTGCCAACCCCGTGGTCTTGATGCCATGGGAGACACATTTCACGGTGAGATATGACTACCATTTTATACTTCTAGAAGGATGGCGCCACCAACCGGACGCGTTCACTCATAAGCGTGCGCAGATTCCTGCAGGTTCCTCTTCAGGGGGGAGAAGGCGAAGGTTTGCCGCAGCGACCCTCCCGCCCTTTTCGCTAACGTGTATCACCTCTAAGCTCGGGGACATCAGATTGATTCTCGGCCACAGCGGCTGCACTTTGAGGAAGGCTAAATGCAAGGGCTCCCATGTAACTAGACCATTAAGCGCAAGTGAAAGAACTCTGAGTTACCATAAATTAATTTGGACTCGCCCGCAATAGCATTCCTCACTGCCATGTCGGGATTTTGTCACAAAAAAAAAAAGCTCGGATTTTTTTTGTATTTGCAGATACCGCCGAGACCACTTATAAGGATACCGGTTTTAACAATATATCGTTTATAAGAATGAGAAGCTCCTGTACCATCAACTTTCGCATGTTTACTTTGGTGAAATAATCACCTGACAGCAATGACCGCATGCATCATTATCAGTTATAACAATGGATTCTGGCTGTTGGGTGTCCATGTCAAAAGGGGATCCAACTTGATAATTTTCAAACGAAAGAAAACGAGAAAACCAAGCTGCTGAACACCTGCCCACAACCCCAATGTACCCTAACAACCTTTCGGTCTTGTATGTTTCTTTGCATAACATTACGACCACGTGGCAATGATGACTTTAAAACGCGTATTGGTATGGAAGCTGCGTTGGCTTTCATTAGAACGTGAAGTTTGACTAAAAAGTTGAGACTTCAAAGAGTTTCAGCGTCTGAAATCTCAGACGTTGTGAATAATTGGTTCTATGGCACTTGTGGCAGTACTGTGACAGCATTCAAGTATTCAAACATGTCCGAAAAATTGACAACTTAGTCATCCTTGTCCGTGGTGTTCGTTTGCACTTTTAATTGATAGGAACCGACATTGTATTTTTCTCAAAACAACGTGCCACCAAACTATCATGTCAACCATTTTTATCAAATATAAGTTGACATTATCTTGGCACTTGAGTCTTGTTCTAATTGTTTTAAGTGAGTTCAATTGTATAAAGTTTTTTGGGAAGTGCGCGTGACAAGCAGGGTGTTTTCAAGTTTTTAAAATTATTTATCGTAAACTTACCCCACAAGAAGTCATGTTATGACCATAAGCTGCATGCATTAGTTTATGAAACATTCATCCCTTAACATAATAGAGAATGTTAATCACATTTTAGGAACAGCCCGGTGTCTTTCCTAATTATTCATTAGTTTCCAACGTAGCGCTTTCACCCTTCTATTCATCACAACAAGCAGAACAATTAAGAAATACTTGCCTGTATGATAGATTCCATGGTTCCGGTGAGGAAAGCGATCGATATGGATAGTAGGCCGTAGGCAGCGGCTGAAATAGCAAGGTTCAGTTTTTTTTTTGGACATATCTGAAAACAGCTGAAGTGCATGACTTGTCGACTGTTACGTACACTTGTGCGCATTAATCCCCATAAAGACGAGATGTGTTGACTCCTATTCTGTGCCGGTTGAATTCGATTATAACCAGATACATTATAAGAGACATTATTATATGACTTTCAAACATTTCTTTATACACTGTAATGGAGTTGTTTGATAAGTGCGTGTCAGTGTTGTTTTACATATGTCTGCTCATATGTTGTACTTTCCATGAACTGCTCTCCATTTTTTCCTTCAAGATGTACGCTCAATATTCACACGAGGGCTAAGAAGTTACCGGCGCCTTAATTGTGAGCCAACTTCTCTTTATATATCATATCATTTTAAAAAATGGCTTACCCATCAGCTTCGTGAGTCGTAGCGCGGCGGCTTCGCTGATGTTGACCCGAGGCCGAATGAAATCGTCCCAGGTCACCGCTGCCAGGGCATTGTAGCCGGAAGAAAGCGTACTGCGAATGTTGCAAAATATGACCTTTCTATATGGATCGCCTTCTTAAAGCTGTTTACAAGTTACAAGACGGAAGTATAGCTCACGCCCACTACGACTTCCAGTAGGATGGGCTTGCTCTCAGCCGACCATTGCTTGCGTCTCTATACTCTGTTCCCGCTCCACACTCTCAATCTCTCGATCGTTTATGCGCGTATCAAATAGACTTCAATAAAAGGAACAAACTAAGGATTCGTCATGTCACGCAGTAACCTTGTGTACAATACTGCGTGACCTACGCGTTATACGCGATATTGTTAGAGAACTCGTTTAACGGTAATTCTAGGGTCGGTGTTGCCGTCATGCGCGCCGTCTGTGAGAGAAAAGTCGAGGTAGAGGCAAATAGAGAAATAACGAAAATCTCGAGTTGGGAGGGGAATCGAACCCAGTACTACTGCGTGGATAGCAGGTGGTCTATCACAGAGCCAAGCACTCAATTGAAACTGTTACGAAAAAAAAAGGACCCTGTCTGAATCTCATGTAGTGCAAGAAGATTAAAAATCAAACTGGCGTAAATAATTGTTTTTATGATAAAGGGCATCATGAAACTGTGTAGTTGCATTACAAAACGTATAGCGTACTTCGGAAACTCGCAAAATTGTAGTGAGCACTTCGCCATTGTACTTGCAGTTGGCCTTCTAGGGTAATTAAAAAAAAGCCAGTTTTGAACGCCCAGTCTTCGCTTTACTTGCGACACGATTGAGATGTGCACCTAGGGGCGAAGCTGGGCTAACGAATGAAAAAGTGATTAGAACGAAGCCCGGTTATGCTATCGCCATCTGCTCTTGAAGGCGAAGATAAAGCATTCTACAAGTTTCATTTCATTATGCTTGAAACATCGTTGTTATCAGTGCTATATTATCATCATCGTCATTCATCCATTCACTCAACTTTTAAAGGCCTCATACAAAGCAATACATAAAGAGTAGGGGGAGCAAAAAGATATAAGGACACGTCATCGCTTATTATACAAGTGAAATGGTTGAAGAATAACGCTGAAGCAAATACGCATTGTGCAACGTTGAACACAAAGATAAAGCAAATTATGAAAGTGTAAGAACTATTACACGTGGTTGGTCGTAAGGCGCGAACACAAAAAGTAATAATGAAATAAATAAAAATAGATCCATTAAAATCACTATTGAAAAAAAAAAAGAAGCTGTGTTGAAGAACTGCTATGTGCGAGGGTCAGGTAAAGAGATAACAGCAACAATAAATTGGACTGGGGCGTGCTCTTGAGCAACATATTCGTCATCATTATGTCCGTCATCGTACTTATCATTAGCCGGGTTTAGTTCATGTATTTATAAGCAAGTACCATGGCTAATGCCTTTAAATTACAGATACTTGTTGTCTTCGTTGTCCTTAGGGTAAGAAGAATCCCAGGCAATCACGACTGAGAGAAGAAGTACTCGTTTTACATTTGTCTATTCAATAGTGTAACACGAAGCAATGTGCAGAGGTAGAAGGGTCCCCGCGTTTCATAATACCTAAGTAAAACAGAAAGATGCAATGACCTCATTATTTACCTAACAAGTAATTTATTTTGTTACTAACTTAACAAACACAATATCTAGTATTAAAATCGCTAGCAGTAACAATGCCCTTTAAATGACTGTATCTCAGAATGAGTTGAAGCGGCTGCCAGCGCTTCGCTTGTTATGAAAACTGACCTTAGGGAACCGCTGAAGACAGACGCCACAAGGAGGCCACTGAGTCCGGGGTAGTTCCTCAGCAAGTCTTGCACAATGTATGGCATCAACTGGAACAAAAACAGTCCTAGAGCTTGCAGCACAGTTACGCATGAATTCACTAAGCAAGAATACTAAGATATTCTGATCTCTTTAGCATGCTGCCTTCTTTCTATCTCTCTATCTTTTCATGCCTGAGTCGTCTTCCCCCAGCGTAGCATAGGAAACCGGATGCGCGTCTGGTTGACATTCCTGCTTTTCCTCCTCCTCCCTCCTCCCTCCTCTCCTTCTCCTCAACTGATCTTTTTTGGTAGCTGTAAGAGCTATGCATGGAGTGAATATTTTTAATGTTTGAAGTTTATTGATAAACAAAAAAAAGATTGAGACATGTCCCCAAAGCAAACCCTGACGGGATGCGACGCCGCAGCGTTGCGCACGGGTGACGTCACGGGTTGAACGGCACTTACGCGGGTGCTCCGGTGAGCTCTAGAAAATTCCTATGGAGCGATGGTTGGTGGGGGTCTTGTAGGTGACACGTACGGACATGTTTCAACGCGTTCGTTAGGCGCGCGTCAGGTTTATTGCGCGTGAACCAACCAGTCGGCGTTGTAGCGAGTGGCGCTTGCAGCAGGTGTTGCGGGAGAACGGACGAAGGGGCAGCTGCTGGCGCCGCGGCTGGCGCGTGGTAGGCGAGAGAGAAAGTGACGTCAGTGCGCATTGTGAGGGGAGCGTGACGTCAACGCGCTGCAGCGGTGTGACCTACTGGGCACCGCGTTAACAGCTACGGCGCGCGGCGCGTTCGTACGGAGGGACAGCGTTACACAGGCTAGTCAGAGAGCTGCTTTACATGTAAAAACATACATCATTCATTTATATAGTGGTTGAATGGGAAGGGTTGGTGAAAAGGTAACTGAATGCCGGACAGGGCACCGACTTCCGCCCAGGCCACAATTATGCACAACACTCAGTAAATACATATACATATATGCAGACCATAAATGTGTAAAGTATGAATACATAAATACAACACACTGTGAAAATATAATAGGTATGTCAATGTAAATCGTAAATACATGAGTTTAATACAGTCGAAATACCATAAATACAGATATAGAGCGAAAAAAAAGGAAAAGAGAACCTTCATTACTATGTTAATTAGAGACATTGAGAAAGCTTTGTGGACTGCTAAAAAACTACACAAGAGTTCACAAGAACGAGTAATATTATGTGGCGTGTTGAAGATAGTTGTAGGATATTATGAGAAATTTAACGGCTGGAAACATTGAATACATGTCACCACCGTTTCAAGAGAAGCTGAAAGCCACTACGTGCCTATAGTTCCTCTTCATTATTGGAGAGCCAGCCTTTAAAGCTGCATATTGCGACAAAAAAAAAACTAGATAGAATACTTTTGTATCGGCGTCTTTTTAGGTATCTTAAGTGCTTACTATCTTCACTGCAAATAATTAATATTTTCATGCTCAAATATGTTTGTCCGAGTATTGTAGGATGAACGAGGCTTTTTTTATTATGTTTCCCAAAAGCCGCTTGTGCCTTTTTCACAACTTAACGCGATAACTCCACTGTGTTTTTGCGTAAGAATGACACCGTCTAGTCCAAGAAATAACCGAATTAATGGGCGAAAATTGCAGTTCATTAGATACACCGAAGAACTGGATCGGCCTGGCAAGCCCTGGTGGGACATTGCGAGACCCTATAGTTTTCAACACAATTGATAGCATTGTTAAAGGAACACTAAACAGAAATAATGACAAGTTCATTATTAGTGGAGAAATTTAAAGTTGAAGTTTCATTTCTAAATTTCACGCCCAAATCTCCACGCGTTCTGTCTAAAACTTCCGAATGTATTTTTTGTATTTTCGCGACGTTAGCTCGATGAAAGTTTCTGGAACTTCGTATGTTAGGTCTATTACACACGCAGATGAAAATTTACTTAATTTTCGTCGATTACAATCTACGTGGTACCCAGTAGACTCCTTTAGAATCTGATACGTCAGAGTGTTTGACGCGAGAATCTCATGGTGACGTCTCCACCCGCCTTTCGTTTTCGCGCTTTTCCTAACTTACCAAGCGTCGTGTCGTGGTAAGAGTGGTGTTTTTCGGATTGCGAAATCGTACTTCACTAATACACAGAAAATCGTTTAGCTTCTTTTGTGTTACATTACGTTCCACTCCATCTGACCAGAGATGTGACGCTCGCTAATGCCCGAGTACGCTTAGAAGGTGAAAGAATGAAATCCTACCTATGAATCGATTAATCGATAAATTTACCTGATCTGCTTTGTCGATGTCGCCAGTGAGCGTGGGGTCGCAGTCCCGGTACACGGCGTAGAGTGTCAGCCCCGACAAGACGGACAGCAGCAAGGTCAGGGCCACGCCGGGAATGTTGAGCAGCAGTGCCCTATAACGTGCAATTTTATTTTAAGTATCTGCAGCTTCTGTGGACAGGAGATGCAGAGGGTTCGCGTACGGTCGGCCAGACAGCTGACCAACAACAACAGCAGCAACAACAACGACCACAACAAGTATTTACAATAAGAGATAGTGCTACTAACATCGTGTAGTAAGGTTTTGAACCATTGTGTACGACAATGGGCACTAGCACTTTCTAGTGCCTACTATTCTAAATAGTGTTAACCTATCTCATACCCATGTAATAGCAGATCAGTTAGGACTTGCAAAGAAGCGCGCCAAATAAACAAAAATTAGTTTTATTGCGATAGCAAATATAGGGATATTCTCGGTTGGTTTTTGCCGCCGACGTCGCCGTCACTCACCGTATATGTTCGCGTATCTATGTATATGTAAAGGCAAAGAAGAAAAGTAATCGAGAAAAAGACTCCAGCATGCGGAATCGAACTTGGATCCATGAGTGCGAGGCGTTAACCACTGTGCAACCGAGAACCGCCTCCTTCAACGTTCAAACGGCAAAATATTTATATCTAATACTTACCGCTGTTGACGGGCATCTCGGGGGCCAAGGAAGTGGATGCTCTCCACCGCGCCTTTATCTCACGGTGGGAAGAATCGTACGTCTTGGCTGGCGTTATGCTTTCACAGGAATGATTCTGTTATAGTTAGTGGGCGCACAAAGGTCACTGCAATCACTGCACAGTCTCCGTTTGCGAAAAGGGCACGCTTTTCAGATACAGCGATGTAGCAACTAAGACGCTTGTTCGCGTTCATCAGTACTTGTGAGTACGTTTCATGTGTCATTTGTGCGTGAGAAAGGCGGGGCACGTTTTGACCTGCTTGACATTTTGTGCGTGGCCTGCCAATTTGTTGCTATTGGGTTCATTGCTTCGCCTTTGCAGCAAACCTGTTAATTTTTTTCTCGTTCGCTCCCGAAACATATCTAATAATTGCGATCAGCAGTTCTTTGGCCAGCAAAAGGGATTCCAGTTGGTGGGATGGTGGACATGATGATTTGAAGTCATACTTCACCAACTATTCTGCTCACACACATGAGGGAAGTAGCCGCAGCTAACTTGGAATAAACGTGAACGAAATAAATGAAATGTATAAATATGCAAGATACGCCGACAATGGTACTACAACCATGGACCTGCAGTACTTAAGCCTGATTCTCTAAGCATAGCACTTTCTTTTCGCTTTCGTGGCCTCGCATCGCAAATTGAAACCAACATACAGAAAGAGAGAGAGAGAGAGAGAGAGAAATGGAGAGGAGAGGCAAGGATGTTAACCAAGCTTTCCCAAACACAGAACACTAAAAGTAACAACCTCCGTTAGACTGCTATGAATGCCTTAAAATTTAATTTTTCTCTTGTGCAAAATCGAAGACAGCAATTTGGGTTGCCTCTACAACGTGGGCGCATACATCTCTTTTTTAGGGGCGAAGCTCCCTAAAGCGGCACCCGTTCGTCCCTCGTCGTAGTACGTAACATGTCTTATGCTTTGACCTTATGCTTTGACCTGCCGGTGGGAGATTTCTCCTGTGCGTTGTTGAACAATAAAAAATTCGCAGCGTGCGCGTTAACTAAAAGCCAAATTCTCCCTTCTCTCATTTCCCATTCGCAGCCATCGGCATGTACATTGAGCACTATCTGACAAGAAAAGGTTGGTACGTCATACTCGCTGGGCGTAACCTCCTTGGTTTTCGAAAGGTTTAGCGAGCGTTCGGCCGCAGTGCCTTGAATACAGTGAACTAGTATATACCATGAACTCGAGGTGGTTAAAAGTGGGAAGTGGACCCGAAGCGCAAGCAGTAAGAAAGTGTGCGTGTGCCACCTCTCGTTTAGTCCTTGGAATGTCCGCTGGATGGCGGTGCTTCTATATGGGGGATATATGCTGAAAAGATGCGAGATGGTGGTACTTGGAGTGTTGAATAGATGGACGAACGGACACATATACAGATGCATGGATGGACGCATGAACGGACGCAGGGGCGGCTGCATGGACGAACGCAGGGACGGACGCATGAACAGACGCACGCATGGACGGGCTGACGGACGCATGGACGGTCACACTGACGGACGCATGGACGGACGAATTCTTCGCCCCACTCTCCATCATTCACTCCGTGGATATGCTGCCATTTTTTTTGTTTCTTCGTAGACGTAGCCAGATGAAATGTTAAGAATTCAGCCCCCTTTCCGCGCCTCCTCACTCACACCTAGAAAATAGGAAGTTTTAGAATAGCGCACCGCGAGCCCTTGCGGTGCGGTAGCTGCCACTGCGCATGCGTCGTAACGCAAGTCGGCGTTCACGTTCGCGGATCGCACGCAGGAAATCCGAAATTGCGTGCGGTGATGGCGGCCCGCATGTGGCCCGCAAGCGTTAGTTTCGAGGCTATAGATACGGTGTCGCTGTGATCGTGCGTTGCGGTTTGCAGCAGGGCAAACGCTATTCTAAAACACTTATGGCGCCCGCTTTGCCCGCAACGCCCGCAGCGCTTGCAAACGCTATTCTAAACTTTTAATAATATATTTGCATCTATATATCTACACACGCACACACGATACGTATGTGAATAGAAGGCGTTGAAAATGCTTGCGTTTAAGGCTCACTACGTTATAAATGTGGCGCAACGTAATTTGCAGCATATAGCTATGACGTAAGATATTTTTTTTTCACTGACACGATTAACGTGAGTGCGCGATTTGGTAGTTCATCAATAAAATTTCAACAGTGCGAAAAAAAAAGAGAAATCGCGAACGGACGAAAAGAGAACTGACATAGACAAGCGCTGACGTTCCACTTATTTTTATTTTAAAAAAACATATAAGTAGCGAGAAACAGCGATGCATTCGCAGCGGATCAAGGGACAAAAACCGTGCATGAGCGCTAACAAGTGACGAGTTAAAAAAAAAATGATACCAGAAAGAGTTATATTACAGAGCATTCGCGTCGGAAAGATAACCAACTTCCTTTTTGTGCGAGTCAATGAACAGCATGCTAGTGCATGTCTCCCTCAAGCGAGCATCGTAGACCATCTCTAGAATTTCTCTAGAGCACACAGTTACTTCGAATATTACCCCTGTTTCGTTTTGGGAACGTATAGGCAACCGCACACCCTACAATATGCGCTCAAATATCCAATATTGCCGCTGTGCGCATTCAGTCGGTGTTCACGTAGGCGTATATTGAGACATATTGACGGGAGGTCGACGCATTTCTTTCCGCATGACATCAGAATGACGAGTCCCTGTGCTTAAGCGCTTGTCGGTGTCACCTCTTTTTCCTTCCGTTCTCGCTTTTTACCACGCTTTTAAAGTTTTCTCTGCCCTACAGGTGATTTCGTCGTAAAAGCGTTTGGCTGTACTTGATATCAATCTCTACAAAGCGTTTAGAAAGGAAGGAACGGCTTCCGCGTAGTTTCACTAACCTGCGTGCTCGTCTGAGCGACTTCATGCTGGAGTAGCGCTGCACCTGAGTCTGGCTGGCGCAGTAGGCGCTCATCCATCCGATAGTCCAGCCGAGGACGACATTCCAGGTGGTGTACGTGTCGTAAAGGCTTGTGCTCCAACTGCGATGGCAAGATGGCATGACAAAGGAGGTCACTCGACCTATCACTCACTGCGACTGGCACATGGAAGTCGGGTCTGCAATATATACAAGAGCAACCACCACTCCACGTCTAACTAACAACACTGCGGAAAAACGCGAACGGAATGGAGGACACCGCAGACGAAGCGCTGTACAGTGTCCTCTCTCCTGGCCAAGGTTGTCTGTGCTGTAACCATTTCGACATGAACAGCCAGCTCTTCCAAACAATCGCGTTCCTATACATTCACGGCTGTTCCTGAGTTATTGGAGACAAAGGATTGTGCCACGTAAATCGTAATACACCCCCACTGTATTCAGTGCTAAGCATGTGAACACAGGATGCCTCGTTGCCAAGTGTAACAGCCGTTGAGCCAGCTTACCATTTATGAAGGCGAAATCTTTAAAGATTAAGGCAGATTCGCCATGCTCGTGGTAATTAAACCCTGAAGAGAGCGCGGAGATGGGCAGTTTTTTTTTATGTTTCGCTTTGGTTTATCTTTCACTACTTCTCTTCTTCTATTTTGTTCTCTGTCCCAGTATAGTCTTTCTTGGAGACCTTTCACGCAAAATTTTGGACTGTATTTCTGTCTGTACATTTGTATGTTTGTATGCCCTTAACGGTAACCTAAACGGCACCAAAGAGCCCGAACGATACTCCAAACGGCCGATTTTCCCCCAGCACCCAGCAATATTCCTCAAGATTCAGCGTTCATATTTGTGTGATTGTCAATTAAAAAGCGATTATTGCGCATATCTGAGGCACCATAACAACACGTCAATATGCTGTATGTGTGTTTCTTACTAGAAAAAGCATACATACGTAATAATAAAAACCGTAGCGTTTATCGCATTGCGCTGAACAGGCAACCCTTGCAGGAAAAGGCGAGTGTTTCCAACACTTTGCTAAGACGACACGGTGGTGGCACCTACCCGTCGCCTTGTGTTCTACACCTTATCACCTCCAAGACGGGCGCGCAGGGCATGCGCGCTGCATTTTCCAAGATAACTGCCAGATAGCGCTCATGTCTCACGTGTGACGTGACGATGCGTTCGTTTGCCTCCACTGCACGCTCAAGGCACTCTAACGCAGCGTCTCCAGAATACCATTCACCAATTTTCTTGCGCAGAACAACAATTAAACGTTTTGTTCATTCTCTACCGACGCAAGACTATCGTCTTCGACGACGTTTGCAGTGTAACATGCAAATTCGAGGCCATTTTTTCATTTCTTTCTCTGATTTATATTGACTTATATTTTTTATTACAAATTCTTTCCATTTTTTGTCTTTCTCTTTCTGTTTCACGCTTGATTTCTCTTTCAATTTTTACACGTGGTTCGTTTTTTTGTGTTTCCCTAGACATATCCGCACTTAATATCATTATCCAGGTGCTTGAAGAAAAATAGGAAGAAGTCGCGTTATTATCATTATCAGTACGTTCGAAGAACAAGTGCAAGATGGCTGTGCTACATGTGGTTTCGCCTGCATGACACCAAGCGATCACGATAGCATTCGATCACATCAGTAGAGTGACATGCCCATACAGCTGATGAGGACGAAAATTGGACGCGATGATAGCACCGCCTGGATTGTGGCGGCAGTTGTACAAAGACTGGAAAATTACTATTTTACTGACAACTGAAAAATGTTTTTATTATCTTCTGCACTCAAGTGATTTTCTTGAACAAATAATAACTAAGAAAATTGTTTGTATATATTATAGCTGCGCATAAAACTAAGTGGTTTTTAAAGCACCACAGCGTTTTGATATGGCGGCTGACCATTCGCATAGCATACGACCACGTCGTCGTCTGCTTCTGCGTCATGGCTGTCCCCGCTCGTTGGATCAGCTCCCTGTCTCAATTTATCTTATTTGTATATAGTACAATGCAGTAAACTACCTGCTAGAAGCTCACAGGTATCTTGCATACTTGATTTAGTAAGCGAGTGATGCCGCATACAGGCCGAGCGAAACGACAACGGTGATCACACAAACTTGCAGCAATAAATTGTTGCATTGCAAGTCAATCGATGTTTGCATAGAATAAAGGTCACGTAAATAACGTTTTAGCATGTACAGCAGTGAAAAATATGCATGCATTACACAGCGGGTACGTAGTCCTACGCATAGCCCCAACGCAGAGACCCGGAGCCCAGAAGCTGTCCAGCGCTCACTGATATATCGATCGAACTCCACGAAAACTTCACGGCAGTAAGTAAAGGTGTACCCCTATCGTTCCTGCACCTCTGTAGCTCAAGATGTCGTAACACCTCGTTGAGAGTATTCGGCCAATTTTCTGTAAATAACATCAACGTATTTACCAGCTTTTCACTAGCAGTGCGGCCTGACTGTTTGTTTTCGGGTTCGCGCTGCCAGCTAAAGTGGGTCACTTTCTAGTCTTCCACGCGTTCACATTATCTTTGCTTATAAATGCTTAAAATAATTGTGGAGCATTTTTATATGCGTACTATTTTCAAGTCTTACAAACAAAATCGTCAAACAAAAGGCTTAGATGGCGTTTCGTTTGCCGTCGCGGGCGGTGCGCTGTCGTTTTGATGGTGGCGACGCCTCACAGCATGGACGCGAAGCTCCCAACACGCCGCGGGCCTGATCACAGGATAGGACAGCCAGGCCCCCTATTGTGTTCCACGCTTCAAAAAATTATTTCAAATTTGAAAAGTAGGCGTCGGTATCAACACGAACGATTAAAAAAATCACGGTATCATGAAGCACGTCATACATCACCAAAATGTGTACCGTCAATCATCCAGTAACTTGACACAACATGACGTCACGTGATGTCGTCATCACGTCGCACGTGACCATTGCTTGATCAAAAGCGAGCCGATTCTGGAGGCAATGCCTGATCGTGTAAAAAAAGAAAGAAAAGGTACAACTTGAGAAGTCTGCGGTATTTCGGATGTGCCAAAGCATGCGCCATTGAGCGTGCTCTCGAGATTAGCGTTACAAGTGAGACGGTTGGTGTCCGTGCCTTCGGAGAACGTTTCCACGTGCAGGAAAGGGAGAATTTTTTACTTCTTTTACTTTTACAGGGAGGGGGGGGGGCTAGGATGGGCTGGCGCACTTTGTTCTTGTGGGTGATGCTTCTACGGACTTCTTGAAGTTGCGTTCGACTACAGGTGCCGAAAGCTTCAAAGGCGGAGTGAGCGGAGATACATAGATTAGTACGACTGGTTGAGAAGAAAGTCGCTTTTGCCTTCACATCATCATATGCCCATTTCAACTTTTAATCACCGATGTTGACGCCCCGTATCTTTGCACGCTCCCGGTTTGACCAGTCAGAGCAGTTACTGCCAGTGCATATTGCGGCAGATTGGCAGTCACCCAAGCTTTGAATGGAGATCGTAGTAGTCAGAAAGAAATGCACGTGTTTTGTTTGTACGCTACAAGCACATATCATATGTAGTTGTTGCCATTCTTAATTGTGCGCTGTGAGAGGGTCGGGGATTAATAGACCCTTTGGACAGAACCAATCTGTCCGTCTCATGTACAAACACCGCAGGCGAAGTACGGGTGCAAATACCGTACTTACGCCACCACAAGATGGTTCGCGAGTTTCTTACGCGATTAGCCGAGAAAACGTGTGGCCGAGTCCATTCGTATGAAGTAAGCATTGAAAGGACGCTGGCTCAAAGAGTCGGGAGTAGTCGCGGCGTCATGAAAGTGCGTTATAGTCAGACCATTCAATATATACCGGACATTTGTGATGCGAAATGACAAGAATTATAGATGTGCGCCTACTCGGGAAGACCAACATGCTGCTGCTCCCGTTTGACATGGAATCACCCCCTAACAGGCTTGTATTTGACTATGAAATCTCTAAGGTGCATTAGTACCGAACGAAGGTCATAACCTGTTATAATTTTCATGAATTCGGACACATCGCCAAACACTGCCCGTCAGAGGAAGTCTTTAAGCAATGTGGACGAAAGCACTCTGAGGATAGTGATTGCGATGATGAGCTCTTCTGCGTCACCTGCCAAAAATAGGGTCGCATATCATTGTACTCCGCCTGCCCCAGTTGCGTGCCCAAAAACATAAAGAAAATTATCCACAATTCGCATGGTCAAAAGACAATGAGCTGGTCTCAAGTAGTTCAGGCAGGCACACCGAAGCAACGTCAGCCATCCAGTGTCTATGAACAGCAAATCAAAGATTTGTGCAAAGAAAACCAAGAATTAAGGATGATGCTACAAGAGATACTGGCAAGACTACCACCCGATCAACGATCTACTCAAACAGGTACATCGGCGCGCCAATATGAATCGACTCGAACAGCTAGTTACACAAAACGTGTGAGTTCTGGGAGTCCGGTTGGGTGATCATTGAGCCGGAAAAGAACGGCAAGCTCAAGGAAACAGCAACAACCAGAAAATGTGCATCCCTAGCAGAGCAGGATGCTCTCAACATCAACGCCATTTACTGCGCAAGGCTCGAATATCGCAGATGCTTAATATACTGCGCCACGAATGGTCCACAGAAACTCAACGCTTGGAAAAAAAAACTGTGGGAAGAATTTCAGACCATAACAAATACAATAAAAACCCAAACGCAAACTATATTCAACAAATTCCATTTTTTTTAAACACGGAGAGCCCAAGCGACGCAAGAGAGTAGATTAAAGCTGGCTTCGACTTATCATTATTTAATCACACTGTCACAGTTTCAAACAGAATGGGCCCACATTAAGGCATCAAGTAGGATGACTTGAACCTCTTGTCATGTTATTGCAGGAGACACGAGGACCGTGTGCCATTAGAGGCTACCGTACTTTTCAGCAGGCTACTATAATACACCAGGGTAAAGGGAATGAACAGTCGCGAGGACAAGCCACTCTCTTAGTCAGAAATGACTGTAGTGCAACTGAACTGCGAATTCCGGAGATAATGAACGAACTCGGAGAAATTGTGGCCATTAAGCTTTGCCCGCGTGGTCAGCGGCCGCTGCTTGCGGTTTTCG